TGAGACAGGGTCTCGCATTATCGCCAGGGCTTGACTGCAATGGCGTGATCTCAGCTCACTGCAACCTCCATCTCCAGGGTTCAAGCGATTCTCCTGCCTCAGCCTCCTGAGTAGCTGGAATGCCCAAAAGCGACCTCGTGACACTTTCGGCCTCCCAAAGTGCTGAGATTACAGGCTTGAGCCACCGCGCCCTGCCAACATTCTTTTAAATACTTTCCAAAACATAGCTAGGGATGCTTTGTGGAAAACACATTCATGATAATTCCTCATCTCATTTCAGAGACTTGTAAACATTCTTTTTTTTTTTTTTTTTTTTTTTTTTTTTTTAAGAAGGCTCTTGCTCTGTCATCCAGGCTGGAGTGCAGTGATGCGATCTCGGCTCACTGCAACCTAGCCTCCCGGGTTCAAGTGATTCTCCTGCCTCAGCCTCCCAAGTAGCTGGGATTACAGGCATGCATCACCACGCCCAGCTAATTTTAAACATCCTATTATTTTAAATAATCTAGCTGCATACTATTTAGCTAAGTATATATGTCCTAACAAACTAAAGAACCAAGAGCATAAACATCAACTCCTCAGAAAAGTGAAACCCTCCCCTTCCCTCCTCTACCAAAGAGAACACAGGCCTGGCCTAGGAGCTGAGGAGGAGTCCAATGGGAAACACTAGTTTCTGTATCTAAACAGATTATCTTCCATTTTTAAAATAAAAAGCAGGCCGGGCGCGGTGGCTCAAGCCTGTAATCCCAGCACTTTGGGAGGCCGAGGCGGGTGGATCACGAGGTCAAGAGATCGAGACCATCCTGGTCAACATGATGAAACCCCGTCTCTACTAAAAATACAAAAAAAATTAGCTGGGCATGGAGGCGTGTGCCTGTAATCCCAGCTACTCAGGAGGCTGAGGCAGGAGAATTGCCTGAACCCAAGAGGCGGAGGTAGCGGTGAGCCGAGATCGTGCCATTGCACTCCAGCCTGGGTAAGGAGAGTGAAACTCCATCTCAAAAAAAATAAATAAAATAAAAAGCATAAAAACAGGTGCCCCAATATTTTATTTGCATATTATTCTGGCATAGATCATCCCTTGGGATGCATCAACATCATTTCAGAAAAAAAAAAAAAAAAAAGACAAAACTAAGAGAATACTGTCTTCTACATTCTCATTAAATCTCCTTTTAATCTGTGGCTAAATATTATCATTCCTAATTTCAGGTCTTTATGATTTTGTTTTGGTTTTCTCTTTTTTTTTTTTTTTTTTTTTTTGAGACGGAGTTTCTCTCTCGTTACCCAGGCTGGAGTGCAATGGCGCCATCTCGGCTCACTGCTACCTCTGCCTCCTGTGTTCAGGCAATTCTCCTGCCTCAGCCTCCCGAGTAGCTGGGATTACAGGCACGCGCCACCATGCCCAGCTAATTTTTTGTATCTTTAGTAGAGACGGGGTTTCACCATTTTGACCAGGATGGTCTCGATCTCTTGACCTCGTGATCCACCCGCCTCGGCCTCCCAAAGTGCTGGGATTATAGGCTTGAGCCACGCGGCGCCCGGCCTTGTTTTGGTTTTCTTAATCAACTTGGTAGATAAATATTAATTTTATTGGACTGCTTAAGTAATGGTCTTTTGTATTTATGACTTTTTTTGTCCTAATTTATCATACTTTTACATCTAATAATTATTTCCTCTTCCTTTTCTTAGATTTATTTTATCGTGATATCAGCTTCTTGAGTTAAACACTAGGTTATTTTTTTTTAGTTTTAATCTTCTGGTTTTGTGATTTTAAAAAATTTAAGATGCTTTTTTGGTTAAGGCATGATTGACAAATACAAATTGAATATACTATATTTACTGTGTAAAATGTGAGTAATGTTTTGATATATAAGTACACTGTGAAATGTTTAAATCAAACTACTGAATATATCCCTCACCTCACACACTTATTCTTGGTGGTGAGAATAAAGATCTACTCTCTCAGCAATATTCAAATACACAATACATGTTTATTAGCTGTAGTCACCATGCTTACAATACTAGATTTCCCAAACTTATTTTTTTATTAAGAAAATAAAGGAACAAAATAACGACTATTTCATAGGCAGATTTGTGGTTACTTCTTGATGATATGCTAAACAAGGAGTGGATTCTTCATGCCTCCCTTTATTAGACCATATAGGTAACTTCCTGGTGCTGCGGTGACATTTGTAAACTTAGACTTCCCAAACTTATTCATCCTGCCTAACTGAAACTTTGTATCCTTTGACCAACATCTAAAAATGATTTCTTTTCTCAGAATATAGCTTTTGTTATATTGGTAAGAAATGTTTTCCTGATGCCACTGTCTGAATATGTTAATAATATTTAAATCTGTAACAGCATATTTGATTTCCTTTTTGACTTAAGTCTTATTTAGGAGAGTATCTTGATATTTACAAACAGTTGATTTAAAGGGGAGAAAGAACAGTTTTGAAGTTTTTTTCTATTTAAAGTTTTGATCACATTTATAGCACTGTAGTCTTCAAAATCTGTCTGTATCACTTCTGCTTTAGGAAGTGTATTACAATTTTTCTCTGAAACAGGCTGTCATGGCTTCTCTGAATGGGTCCTGGCTTCCAAATTTAATCTCTAGTTCTTCCTCACTAGCCTTATTGGAAAGTATATAGCCACTTTAATTCTATAGGTAGTTATTTTAAAAATGAATTTCTATTTATCTGTGTTCATGAGCAAGATTGTCCTGTAATTTTTTCTTTATATTTTCTTTTTGTTTTTGTTTTAAGGTTGTTCAGACATCATAAAGTAAAATTTTAAAAAACTCTTTTTTCTATTCTTCCTTAAAGTTTGGTGAAAGTCTCATCATTTTCTTATACAATTGAGAGCTTTCTATACTGGAAGGCTTTTAACTATAGATTCAATTTCTTTAACGGAAAAAGGGCCTATATAGGTATTCTATTTAGGCCCTTTATTCTATTTCTTCTTGATCTATTTTACTTTTTTTCTCTAGAAATTTGTCCATTTCATGTACATCTCCAAAAGTTTTGGGATAAAATTTTTCTTAATCTTCCCATAATCCTTGTCATTTTTCAAAATTAAATGATGTTATCATTTTTGACTTTTGATATTGGTTACTTCTATCTTGTTTCTCTTACTCTTGGTAAAATAACTTTTGGCTTTGTTGATTTTCTTTATAGCATATCCGTTTTCCATTTCATTAATATCTGGTCTTTTATTATTTAGCAAACAAAATATGTCAAAGTAATGTACGTTTCCAAGACAAGGCACTATTTGTACATTTGGTTCTTTCTCTTGAATTTGTCACCTCCATCAAATAAAGATTAGCCTAGCCTACTAGAGGAATGAGAGACCATGTGAAACTATCAGGCCATCCTAGAGGAACAAACCCAGCAGCTAACCATACACAAAGGTGATCCCAGCCAATACCAGAATTATGCCCAGAGGAACCCACCCAATCTGCCAATCTGCTGCACCGTGAGCTACATAAATGAATGTTACTTTAAGCCTGCTAAATTTTGGGGTGGTTTGTTATGCAGCAAAAGGTAATTGGCATAGTCCCTATTCAAAACTTTTAAACTCAGGAGAAAGGGGAAAGAAAATGTTCAGATTTTTTTCAGGTTTTTTTTTTTTTTTTTTTTTCTTGGCTGCTTAGCATTCTAGCAATCTGTGGGCAGGTAGGCATTCTTGTAGGTGGGGAATTTCATCAATGTGCTAAGGCTGCACAGTGTTAACTGACTTTATTCCCAACTAGTAGTAATAAAGTGGTAATTAAGAGAAAGTCCGTGGGTCTGTGTTTATGGAATGTGGCCTTTGCTAGATGACCAGAGAAAGCTTCTCCATAGCATCCAATTACTGGAAGGTATGGAGATAAAACTGGATCAAGGAACTGGTAGCCATTCCACAGAAGCTACACTTCCACAGTGATCCATAAGATCAAATGGGAGAAGAGAGTTTTGGAATTAGTTCAAGCTTGCAGCATGAGAGATGTCCAGTGCTGAATTCTGTTTGGACAATAGGTAACCTTGGGGCACCCCAAGAAAAGAGAATAACTTATTATTGATAAAGACACCATAGACAGTTTTGTATAATTATGTTACACATATTCTACTAGAAAATGACACATATAATTGACTTGACCTATTATGCTGGCAAGAGTAAAGGAATGCAAAAGCATAAAATTTCCAAACAAAAGAATTATAAAAGACGATGAACTTTCAGATAGTGATTCTTCGTGCTACAAACACCTTAACCATGAGTTATCACTACAATGCAATATAGCAGCAAAGTCTGACGGGTAAAGGTTTGCAGTTACTCATTCAACAAGTTTTATCGAGTGCCTGGTATCTATAAGTGGTTGCGAGAGATAAAAAAATAATCATAATACATCAGAAATAGGAGCTTTCTTGTAGGGGTAAGTAGTCTAGTAGAAAATGGTATGTTAGTGATACTAATACCTTCTTAAAAGTGATGGGTACCGCTGAAAGTATGAATACAATTTTACCGGAATTGAGAGGAGAGTGGGATCAGGCAATGCTTCAGCCAAGGGGCAACATCTGATCTTCAAGGAAAGGCAGAGTTTGAATAAGAAGACACTCCACTGAGGTGGTGGAAGAAGATGGAGGCTATTTCATTCATTCATTCATTCATTTATTCATTTGGCCAGGCAGGGGATGAAGTTTCACTCTTGTTGCCCAGGCTGGAGTGAAATAGTGAAATGGTGGATCCCAGGTCACTGCAATCTCTACCTCCTGGGTTCAAGTTATTCTCCTGCCTCAGCCTCCCAAGCAGCTAGGATTACAGGCATGTGCCACCACATCCAGCTAATTTTGTGGTTTTCGTAGAGATGGGGTTTCACCGCATTGGTCAGGCTGGTCTGGAACTCTTGACCAAAAGTGATCCAACCCACGTCAGTTTCCTAAAGTGCTAAGATTACAGGCGTGAACCACCATGCCTGACCTAAGATGGAGGCTATTTCAATAAGAGACACTGGCCCAAACATTGAGTCCGAGCCAGCAGATCATTTATTTAGGAGGCAAATGAAGACTGAAAGAACACCAAGCTGAAAGTGGATAACTCGTTGTGTGACCGAAGAAAGTTCCCCAGTCAGGGTTTCCATTTCCTCCCCTGGGCGATCCAGGTGTTAAGTTGTCATTATTTCTTAGCTTCCTTCTGGTTCTAAAATTCTATAGAGGTTGGAACAAAATGTGATAGTATTTTAAGTCATTAAAGAAAGCTGTAGTCATGGTTTCCTTTGTACAGCGTATCGTTGGTCATATCCTTACTTTATTTAACATCAAGTCTTTGAGAATGCAATAGCTAATTATGACACTAAAACTATAAAAAACAGGATTTATCTGCAGCAGTGTTTTTGACAGGCTCTCTTAGAAGACTTTGTATAATAAAACAGAAATATTATACATTAGTAATGTGTACAGTAGAAATTTGAAAGACATGCTAGGAGGAAACAAATTGTTAGATATATCTATAAAACAAGAATTAAAGGCTCTAGGAAGATGTACTTATAAATAGAAAAAAATGAGGATAAAAAATAAAATGATTCATTAAATGTAAAAACAAGAGATAATACAGAAAGAAGAATGAAGGAAAGAAATGAAATTTTCATCAAAATTTATCTAATGGTTTGATTATACTGAAAAGAAGGACGTTTTGAAGCATGGTAATCATCTATAGTTTTGCCTGAATAAGAATAAAATCAGAAAGAAGTGAAACTTTGAACTTGAACTGAAGAAGAACAGGTCTTCTTCCATGCAAAATGACTGAATAGTCTGCCCTAACTACAGCAGTCTATAAAACCATAAATCATTATGATTTAGTACAAATAATTGAATCTTAAAAGTATTTTATGGTATTTCTGATATTTCTAAGAGTGCAATTTAAATCTATATTTATGTCCTTCTTTTTTTCATTTTTAATATGAGACAGTGGTCTCACTGTGTTGCCCAGGTTGATCTTGAACTCCCAAACCCAAGAGATTCTCACACCTCAGCCTCCCAAGTAGCTGAGATTACAGGCATGCATCACCATGCTTGGCCCTAAATCTACATTTAAATTTAAATGCAGAGCATTTATGGTTTAGCTAAAGTAGCGGTCATTGCCGTGACTTTCTCCAGAGATTATACCTAGGTGTATCAAATATTGGCCATGTACAGTGTCTCACTCCTATAATCCTGACACTTTGGGAAGCCTACACAGGAGGATCACTTGAGACCAGGATTGGAAACCAGCCTGGGTAACATAGCCAGATCCTGCCTCTACAAAAAATAGAAATAAAAATAAATTAGCCAGATGTGGTGGCACATGCTTGTAGTCCCGCTACTCAGGAGGCCGAGGAAGGAGGATCACTTGAGCCCAAGAGCTCAAGTCTTCAGTGAGCTGTGATCACATCCCTGCATTCCAGCGTGGGTGACAGATCAAGATTCCATCTCTAAAAAACAAAGTAATAGATAAATCAGTTAGTTAAATCAACCTAAATTGAATTAAACTAAAATATTACCAAGTCCACATGTACATTAATGGCAAAAACCACAACTGTCTATGAATCAACTTAACATAAAGTATGATGTATTATTGTACACGTTCTCACATCCTCTCCTGGACCATGCCTAGGAAGTCTGTTGGTAAAGCTAAAGATGTCGTCATTTCACATGAAAATGTAGGTTATTGATTTTTCTTGTTTCTTCCCACATTGTCACTGACCCATATCCTGTAAAGCAGCAAAAGTGCTTTGACATCAGAAGGTGGGTAAGGATAATAGAAAAATCACAAATATTTGGTAATTCTGTGCTAAAAAAGTGGATTGACCAACATGTAATTGGTTAAAGGATAAATTCCTGGACTGGATGAGATAGTATTTTATTCCAACACAAGTAAAACATTACACAAAGGAGGCGGACTCATTTTTTTAAAAACCAGACATAGATTTTCTATCCTAAAGCACATTTGCAACCGCTAGCAGACAAGTACAGGTAATTGCCTCCAGGTGGTTGCCTGCAGGAAATCATTGAAATTCAGTGCTTGTAATGACAGTTTTCTGAGCAGCAAAAACTAACCTGCAGGAACCTCAGAGGTACAGGTATATTTTAGAATAGCAATGCCAGCCATCTGAAAGGCCGTAGATGCAGAATGCCCAGTTTAACAGGATACAGATTAAATAAAACAAGAATGAAGCTATGTTAACGATTAACAACAATTTCAGAATTTCAGATTACAAAAAAGATTTTCTTTAGCTTTAAAAAAACTTTAAACATTATTTTTCTTACATTTTTACTCATTGATGGTATCTGCCTAGCAATCATTTTTTCTCCCAGACAAAATGGGAATTACAAGAACAGCTACATTTTTCTTAAAGTTCTGTTTTCATGAAAGCTCATGTTCAAAATTAATTTATTATTAAACAATAACCCAAGAATTTTTTCCACTGTAAGTAGACACTCCAGGATATTTAACTAAAGGCGGCAGATTAACCGTTAGCATTTTAGCTCATTGCTACTGTTCAAATGACGGTAAGTTTTTTTTGAAAGACATAGCGTACAAAGACAAAATAAATAAGAATGGAAACAACAGCAACAGAAATTTGGAAGCTGGAAGCAGGTCTGAGAAAGTTGGATTCTCAGCCAACTGCAGAGAGAGCTAAGAAGCTGACTGATTTTTTTTTTTTTTTTTAATTTCAAGTACAGATCCAAGAATGGGCATCATTGGATATCTCTGGAAGTTCTGTTGCAAGTAGGGGTGTGGAAGAAGCAGCTGGACCTTCTGATCTCCTCCCTACTTCATGCAACAGGTCAACTACCCATCTTAGCAGAAGATCTAAGAGATTTATTTCCTGGAGACAGACACACGGAGGGTTCAAACTAAAAATCGGGGAGTTGAGCTTACAGGCTAAATGCAAAAACTCCTCATATTTCTTAACCTTTTCTAGGCTGGAATGCTGGTTGCTAAGTATACTCACTCTTGTGAGTGCATACACATGCATACACAGACACATATGCTCTAGGCAGACAATTCCAAGTCTTCTCTGGGGAATTTGACTACCCCGGTAGAAAAAATCTGAAACTACTGCCAGTGAGGGCTCCACTGGGAAGAGCAAAGACAGGCCACTAGACAGTGAAGTCCCCGGTCAATGAAAACTAGTCACACACTCCTCCTCCAATCAGATTTATATATATATATATATATTTTTTTTTTTTTTTTTTTTTTTTGAGATGGAGTCTTGCTCTGTTGCTCCCAGGCTGGAGTGCAGCAGCGCAACCTCGGCTCACTGCAACCTTTGCTCCCGGATTCAAGCAATTCTCTTGTTTCAGCCTCCCGAGTAGCTGAGACTACAGGCATGTGCCACTATACCTGGCTAATTTTTGTATTTTTAGTAGAGATGGGGTTTCACCATATTGGTTAGGCTTGTCTTGAACTCCTGACCTCATGTGATCCATGCACCTCAGCCTCCCAAAGTGCTGGGATTACAGGTATGAGCCACCATGCACAGCCTCCAATTGGCTTTAAGTGCACCCGTGCCTATGGAGTGGCCAACAAGGATCACTAGGATAGGATTCTAATCTGAGAGACAGTGAAACAAACAATCAGGGGGGAAAGTAATGGGGGAAAACAGAGGCAGGAGGGGAGGATAACATTTGAAAATGATCCTTAATACATTCCGATAAGATATTGCATACATGAGATAAGAAAAGGGTGCTATTTTAGAAAAGAATATTTTGAGGAGGAAGAGCTTTAAAATAATTAAAAATAGAATTGTGAAAGTAAAAAAATCAGTAGAAGAGTTGGAAGATAAATTAGAGAAAATATTCTAAAAGCAGAGGAAAAATAGAAAACAAGGAATAAAAGATAAGAAAAAATACAGGATATGTCCAGGAGGTCCAACATCTGTATGACAGGAGTTCCACAAAGAGAGAACTCAAGAAATAGAGAATAGGGACAGGGTGAGGTGGCTCACACTTGTAATCCCAGCACTTTGGGAGTCTGAGGTGGGCAGATCAACTGAGGTCAGAAGTCCGAGATCAGCCTGACCAACATGGAGAAACCCCATCGCTACTAAAAATACAAAATTAGCTGGACATGGTGGCACATGCCTGTAATCCAAGCTACTTGGGAGGCTGAGGCGGGAGAATTGCTTGAACCTGGGAGGTAGAGGCTGTAGTGAGCTGAGATCACACCATTGCACTCCAGCTTGGGCAACAAGAGCAACACCCCTTCTCAAAAGAAAAAAAAGGAAATAGAAAATGGGAAATCATCAATGAAACAACACAAAAACATTTCTCCCAAATGAAAGAACATGAGTTTTTAGGTTAAAATAAGCCACACAGAGTCCAGCACTAGAAATAATTTAAAAAACAACCTTAAGACACATCATTGGGAAGTTTTTTGGAACTCTGGGATGAAAAAAATATATTATGAGCTTCTAGAAAGAAGAGATTTCATAAGAAGAATCAAGATTCAGAGTGGCTTGACATTTCATAGTAGAAATGCTAGAAGCTAGAAGACAATGAATTTAATGCCTTCAAAATATGTGGAAAAATTCATTTCATTCTAGAATTCTCTAGCCAGCCAAACTATAAATTAAGTGTGAAGGTAGAATAAAGACATTCTTAGATTTGCAAGACCTCAAAATCCTTTGTTTGCTGTGGATCCTTTCTTAGGAAGCCCTGGAGTATAGGACCACTCAAAATGCAGGAATAAACTTAGAAAGAAGGAAGGCATGGGATCTGGGAAATTGTGACCCACTCAACAAATAGAAGTCAACCCCAGGGATCATGGTGAAGGGGATCTCATGAAAACTGGTGGGTCAGGCCTAGGGTGTGACTCTTGAGAATACAAGACAGAAAGCTCTGGGTGAGAGCTATTGGATAGGAACAATGAATCCTATATTAGATGAATTTCAATGTGTTGAGATAACATTTACCCATCTTAGGTTGAATTTATAAGTACAGTCATGTGTTTTTTAATGACAGGGATACATTTTGAGCCCTGTTGCTGTTCTGCAAACATCGTAGACTCGGTAGAGCCTGCTATACACCTAGGCTGTATGTGACAGCCTATGGCTCCTTGTCTACAAACCTGGACAGCATGTCACTGTACTGAATACTGCATGCCACTGGAAGTAGTTGTTTATCTAAACATATCTAATCATAGAAAAGGTGCAGTAAGAATATGGTATAAAAGGTTTTTAAAATGATACACCTGGATAGAGCACTTCCAATGAATGGAGCTCACAGGACTGGAAGTTGCTCTGGGTGAGTCAGTGAGTGAGTGGTGAGTGAATGTGAAGGCCTGGGACATCACTGTACACTACTTCAGACCTTTAGAAACAATGGACACTTAGGCTACACTAAATTTATTTTTTAAAATTTTCTTTCCTCAGTAACAAATTACCCTTAGCTTACTGTAACTTTTAAACTTTAGAAACCTTTTAATTTTTTAAAGTTTTAGACTCTTTTGGAGTAACACTTATCTTAAAATACAAACACAGGCTGGGTGCAGTGGCTTATGCCTGTAATCCCAGCACTTTGGGAGGCCGAAGTGGGTGGATCATCTGAGGTCAGAAGTTTGAGACCAACCTGACCAACATGGAGAAATCCCATCTCTACTAAAAATACAAAATTAGCCAGGCGTGGTGGCACATGCCTGTAATTCCAGCTACTTGGGAAGCTGAGGTAGGAGAATTGCTTAAACCTGGGAGGTGGAGGTTGCAGTGAGCCGAAACCACGCCATTGCATTCCAGCCTGGGCAACAGAGTAAAACTCTGTCTCAAAAAAAAAAAAAAAAAAATACAAGCACACTGTACAGCTGTACAAAATATCTTCTTTCTTTATATTGTATAAACTTTTTAAAATTTGTATTTTTATTTTTTACTCTTTAAATATTTTTGGTAAAAACTAAGACATAAACACACACATTAGCCTTGGCCTGCACACAGGCACAATCATCAAGACATCACTAGATGGTAGGAATTGTTCAGCTTCATTATAATCTGATGGGACCACTGTCATACAAGCGGTCTGTTGTTGCCTGAAATGTCATTGTGCAGTGTATGACTGTCCACAGACAGCCAAGCAAATACACAAACTAAGCAATGATGTTCTTTACGGAAGCACAAATAGGGAAAAATAATCACAGCGTATTGTACGGCTTAGCTGTGAATAGTGTTCTTAGTCTCAGCGATAATGCACCTATAAACATCAACTGTTGACCCAACCAAAATTATAATCTACATGGGGCACAGAGGGGACAGCAGTGTAACTGTGTGTGCTCAGGGACAGAGGGAGCAGCACAAAAAGAGAGCTAAAGCTCCACATTTCAGAGTGAGAAGGCAATAGATAAGGCCTAGACTGAAAAGGCCAAAATTACATTTTATTTAGAGATGCAAATGTAAATATTAAAAAATTGGTAAAAGAGTTGAAAATATTTTTGTCTAGGGAGTAGGAAATAGTGCCAGCAGAGATGGCAAGAAATGGCTTTTTTTCTTAACATGCTATAAAACAATCTGACTCTTTAAACTCTGATGAAGTGTTATACATTGATGTAAATTTAAAAACGAAAGAAAATATTGAGATGAAAAGATAGGCAGGGCGTGGTGGCTCAAGCCTGTAATCCCAGCACTGTGGGAGGCCGAGGTGGGCGGATCACAAAGTCAGGAGATCAACACCATTCTGACTTAACACGGTGAAACCCCATCCCTACTGAAAATACAGAAAAAATTAGCTGGGTGTGGTGGCACATGCCTGTAGTCCCAGCTACTCGGGAGGCTGAGGTAGGAGAACTGCTTGAACCTGGGAGGCGGAGGTTGTAGTGAGCCAAGATTGTGCCACTACACTCCAGCCTGGGCAACAGAGCAAGACTATGTCTCAAAAAATGAAGAAAAAAAAAGAGACATGAAAAGATATATTTCTAAAATGTTTGGGTGAATCATTTTAGGTGAAATGGCTAAGCTAGATAACTTATCTGATAATGCTCATATCTTTCTACTTGTTAGTTGAATCATAGAGTTGTATGAATAATCATTTATTGAATGATTACAACATGCAGGGTTCCATGGGAAAGGTAAATAAGGAAGAAATACACCATGATTTTCTTCCTTATGTTGCTTGCAAGTGAATGTGACATTTATTTAAAATATGTTTTTTGTGTTTATATGAATAAATAAAAAAGAACTAGGGCAGAGAGGAAGGACCGTACATACATATGACAGTATAAAAGAAACAAGATCCAGAAATCTGTTTGTTGAATATGGAAATTTGAATGGACCATTGAAAGAAGAGGTAGACCAGAGAGCTGGGACTAGCATGAGAAAAATTATGAAGACAGGAAGTGTCTCAGCATGATCGGATGGTTGCGATTCATTAATTATAATGAAGAACAAAGAAAAGAATGTTAACTCCAAGAGAGCAGTTATCTTGTGTGTCTTGTTCACCGTTTCCAATACTAGAACATTGCCTGGCATATAACGAATACTCAGTAAACATTTGCCTAGTGAATGGATGGGTAAGATTGTAGAGATAGTTAGAGGTTGATAACAGAGGACTTTGAATTCCATGTTAAATTTTGAATTTAGACTGTAAGTAAATAGGAAAATATTGGAGGAGAATATTGTGACAGCTCTAATTAGACAGCTGAGTTTAGGACAAGTTAGAAGCATGCGAGGTATCGGGTCAGTTAGGAAGAAATGATAAATAAAGGTCTGAATTTTTAGCAACTAAATTAGAAAGGAAGAAACAGATCAGTTATTGCTGAAGCTAACCATGGAAATGTAGTAAATTTGAAGTTAGAAAAAATTTAGTTAAATCCTGTCTCTGTCATTTAATGGGTGTGAAGATCTGGACAAGTCCTAGGACACCTTCTATGAACATCAATTTCCTCAGTAAAGTCAGGAATACAGTTTGCGAATACTTCACCTGCTGTCTAAAGCATATCGGGTAACTCTCACGGATATGTCAATACGTTAACCCAGGATAAATTGACGTAAGGATAAAAGAAGAGAGAAGTACAAGAGAGACATAACACGTAGCCAGGAGCGGAGCTAAAAATCCACCATAATACACAAAGTTATGTGAAAGCATTTTGGAAAATGAAGAGTTATATAGACGTTCGACGTGGTTGACCTGTGACATTTCTGATGTGGTGGAAGCTTGAAAGACATTATCACTGTGTCAGAGGAGAGGGCATAACATTGATGCAGAGGGAATGGGAGCCACTATAGATTAAGCTTTTAAGAAGTTTGGAGGTCAAGAGACAACTGCAAAGACAAGTAAAATCTAAAAAGGTAAGCTCGTGATTACGTTTTATACTCTCAAAGTGTTTGATGAAAATATTCACCAATCTTTGAAGGAGAACCAACGATTCTTTAACCTAGAGTGGACTGTAGTGAGCTAGTCTAACGCAGACACCTTGCAGGTAGGAAAGTTAAACCCAATGAGGTGTCAATGCTAGTAGTAGAAGGTGCCACTTACCTATATTTCTCAACAGAAACAAAACAAACACACACATTTTTAAAACCCAAGATATAATAATCGATAGACTATGGGTCTCATTTCCCTAGAAGGGTGGTTCATGGATATCGTGTAGAGTTGATTAGTAATTAATGAATAAGGGAGACTTAAGGGAAGGGAAGGCTATAAGAATAAGATAGAATTGTGTTTTTAAACAATTTAGAAAGTAGAAACCTAGAAAAAGTGAAACAATAGCACTTAAAGGGACAGGCCTGATTAATTAACTAATTGGGAGTATGCCAATTTTATTTTATTTTGTATTTTTATTTTTTTGAGACAAGGTCTCATTCTGTCACCCAGGCTGGAGTGCAGTGGTGTGATCACAGCTCACTGCAGCCTTAACCTCCCTGGGCTCAGATGATTCTTTTCACCTCAGCCTCCCAAGTAGCTGGGACTATAGACACACCTGGCTAATTGTATCTTTTGTAGAGATGAGGTTTCATTCACTAAGTTGCACAGGCTGGTCTCCAACCCCTGGGGCTCAGGCGATCCATTCACCTTGGCTTCCCAGAGTTTTGGGATTACAGGCACAAGCCACCGGGCCTGGCCTGCCGATTTTATATAAGCCTTGTGGATCACTGCATGAAGTGGTCCTAGAAATGGTGCAATCCAGCTGGATCTTAGAGAGATTGGCCTAGAGCATTTGGATGAGCAATGAGGAGGAAAGCAAGCATTCTATGCCACGATGGTGACCGAAACAGAAGTGTGTGCAAAGGAAGCACCTAACTCTTTGCAGGAACAGTGAGTGGACCCATTTAGCTGAAGTGAAGGCTTCGTTTAAAGAAGTAGGTGAACACAACGTTTTGGGGTGATCACTTGCATCATATTGAGGTTTAAAGCCAGCTAGGGAATCTGTGCCTTGTAGTTAGAGGGAAGTGACTCGGTTTCTTCAGTGAGGGAGTTACATGATGACAGCATTCTTTTTAGGAGATAATTAGGGTGGTGTGTCTGATGAACAGAAGCTAGGAATGTTTGGACTTTAGCCCTGTCTTTTCCAAGTTGATGTCCTGGTAGACAACTGCATTCTCTCCCCAGACACTCTTAGATGTTAATATTGGCAACGCTGGGAGAATCTGTGGAGCACTTTTTATGAAATGTAATGTGAGAGTTACTTGCTTTTCACCTTCAGTAACTTTTCGAAGAAGAGTGAGGAAAAGTTTTTAAATATGTCACATTGGACCTCTACATTTTAGAGTAATAATAATAGAATCCCACATTTTCTAAATGAAATAAAGCAATGAGTTAGAGTTGAGAAAATAGGCAGAAAGGCCTTGGTTAAGACAAAAACAGAGGATTATAAAAACGTTTTGGGAATGATGTCAGAATCGTAGGTTATGGGTGGTTGTAAAGAGATAATTCTGATTTTAATCAGTCAGGTCATCTATGTTCCAGAAGCCGGGTGTCAGAGCAATACAAACTAGAGGGAAAAGAGAGTGTGTAGTAGTTTTCATCCAAGGAAATCAAAGCCATTGTAACTATTAATATTAATAGAAATAATTGTAAGTGAATTTAGGAGGGTAGATATCCAATTCACCATCTTCATAGCTTCTAGAAAAATACTGTCCTGAGTTTAAGATAAATCATTCATTTCAAATAAAGAAGCAGAGAAGAAAAAGGAAAATAGAGCAGTAGAATGGCAAGTAGTTACAAGTAGGTAAATAAATGCTTGCTTAAAGAGAAATCCAATTACTAATCAGTGAAAAAACGAGGATATAATGAAGAGACATGGAAGAAGAAGATGAAGGAGACCTTACACATAGGGGAAAATACAGAGGAAAGGAGCTATTTAGGTAGATACTCACAGAAGCAGATACTTTCAGATTACTTAATAAGCACTCATTGCTCTTTTGCAAGGTATCCCTAATAACTAAGGAGTAAGTTATTATCACCCCATTTTACAGATGGGGACACTGTCAAATGTCATTTAGTACTTTAGCATATTACACTTAGGTGGCTAATTAGCAATGTATCTGAGATGGAATTTGGCAGTGGTAAGAAGCATTAATATTTATTTTCAGGACCTTTAGTGTAACTTAGAAGACTCATTCCTTTGACTTATCTGCTGTACAACTGGTCAATATTGCACAATGACTTCTCAATATTACCATTGATTTAGATTGCCAGGAAAAAATCAAGCATGCTTCAAGGAGATTTTAGTATCAAGAAATCCATACTATTTGACACCTGCTATTATTTCCACAGCATCCCAGAATTTCTCATTTAAGTACTGCCCAATATTATTCTGGTATTCTTTGAATTTGTGAACACACACAAAAAATGTTTTGTTCTAATTTGTTGCAGAATGGCAGTTTGGCCTTTGGGAATATGAATCATGGGTCACTGACATCAAGCAGCTTACATTTGGAAACCAATAATAATTGGTTTGGGACAAGTCTTTTTTCCCCCTTAATAAGAAATTGGGAGATTTCTTAATAAGAAATATCACTGGAGTTTCTAATTTTAAATTGCATGAATTTGTTTTAATCGTATGAAAATGAATACAAAATAATCAGTTACTCAAAGTAGATAACCAAAAGGAACGGTTATTAAGACAGTCGAAGAACATTCATAGGATAACCATCCTCCTCCCCCAAATCAAACCTGAGGCAATAGAAAGCTATGCTTTCAGAATAATAAAACAGCAGAAAAGCTCCCGTGAGAGAATGTCTGGTTTACCTTTCTGGAAATCACTTTATTTTGTTCCAGAAGGGTGGACTATGGAACTTTCTGCGAGAACATGGTTACAAAACTGTTGTGTGATCAAAGCTCCGGAGGGAGGGACTGTTTTGACTCTCTTGTTACTATGTGAGGGATGGAATTTTGCAACCAGAAGGTTCCACAACAGTTGGAAACGACAGTTGTATGAGTAGCGAGCCGAAGACAAATGTGTGTGTCCTGTTACTCCTGCTCTGAGAACGACACACTGCCGCCGTGCCAAGGTTTCCGGCTTGCATCAATATTTTTTATAATTACCAAACCTCATGTGCATAACCCATTAGCAGCAAAAAAATCTTACAAGTAACATCTACACTGTCTTTAGGTTAGACAGCCATCTGGCTAGCTGATATGTGCGCACGCACACACACATGCACACACACACAGATAGCCTTATTTAGATGCCTTATTATAATCCGTGTTCCATTTTCGATCATCTACCATAAATCAAGCTCCACCTCCTTTTGCAGAAATTAAAACAGCTGAAATTTAAAAAGCTCTCAGAACATGTTAAAGCTCACCCATGGGCTATTATCATCCTGCTGTTCTAAGTGGCTTACTCTTATCTCCCATTCTCTGGCTCATCTCTCTCACTTGTGAATTCATGTCCCTATCATTTTCCTTACTTAGCTTCCGGAAAGTCCATTTTATCTGTTGCCCTTTCTCCGACTTTTCCCAAGGTGGACTTTGACTCTAGACTCATGGGTTACTTCATGTTGATGTCCACAGACATTTTGGCACAACAGGAACTACCATGAAAAGGAGATGCCAATAAATTCAAAACTGTAAATGAATTGTGTGCTTTTACAAACAAAATAGTATGGAATAGTATAGCAGGAAAAATGAGCGATTTAAGTGTTGTTTGCCAGAAACAATTCATCTGCAAAATTTAATCCAACAAGCAGGCATCTGGAGAAAGCTTCTTGTGTTGGCAACATATTTACAGAGTCAGAAGCTGGTGATTTTGGGATCTGGTAAGGTTTGGGAAAACTGAGATGTTAATGTAGGAGGTAGATATTGGGAATTGAGATGTGTTTGCAAAAAAAAAAAAGGCACTTGTAAAGCTAGTAGGGGGTGAAGTCATGGGGTTTGCAGTTTATTAACAAGAAGGAAAGGTCACTTATAATGAATGATTTAGATGAAATTTGAAATGCTTTAGGATTGTGTGGAATCCTGTCCTGTAGCCTGGGACACGTGCCTGGCATACCCACCTGATGATGCTAAAATCCCATAAATATAGACATACAGATACAGCCCTTATTAAAATATATGTACATATATAAATATATAACATAGGTATGTGTGCATGTGTATACATATATATATACAAAGTAGTTTCAATATGTTTATATATATATATATAAAGTAGTTTCAAATTTCATTTATAAAATATGTTTTAAGACACCCAGTGGATACCTGAAACATATATATATATACATATATATATATATGTGGGTTTTTTGTGTGTATATATGGTGTATACGTGTGTGTGTGTGTATATATATATATACACATATATATATACAGTGTGTATACACACACACGCACACACACACACACACATACACGCACAGTCTTTTCTTTCTTTCTTTTCTTTTTTTTGAGACAAAGTCTTGCTCTGTAGCCCAGGCTGGAGTGCAGTGGCATGATCTTGGCTCACCACAACCTCCACCTCCTAGGCTCAAGTGATTCTCCTGCCTTAGCCTCCGGAGTAACTGGCATTACAGGCACACACCACTGCACCCAGCTAATTTTTTTTGTATTTTTAGCAGAGACGGGGTTTCACCATGTTGGCTAGGCTGGTCTTGAACTCCTGACCTCAGGTAATCCACCTGCCTCGGTCCCCAAAAGTGCTAGGATTACAGGTGTGAGCCACAGCGCCTGGCCTTCATTTACTGTTTTTTTTTCCTATACCTAAATAGCTATAATAAAGTTTAATTTAAAAATTAGGCACAGTTAAAATTAACAATAACTGGCTAGGCGCTCATGCTTGTAATCCCAGCACTTTGGGAGGCCAAGGCAGGTGGATCATCTGAGGTTGGGAGTTCAAGACCAACCTGACCAACATGGAGAAATCCCATCTCTACCAAAAATACAAAATTGGCCGGGCATGGTGGCACATGCCTGTAATCCGAGAATCACTTGAACCCTGGAGGTGCAGGTTGTGGTAAGCTGAGATCATGCCATTGCACTCCAGCCTGGGCAACAAGAGCAAAACTCCATCTCAAAAAAAAAAAAAAAAAAAAGAAGAAGAAGAAATTAACAATAACTAAGAATTGAACAATTGTAACAATATACTGTAATAAAAGTTACATGAATATGGTCTCTCTCTTTTAAAATACTGTAATATTGTAGGACCATGGTTAACGATGGGTAATTGAAACCATGGAAAGTGAAATATGAATATATACATAGATGCGTGCATGTATTTTTTTCATATGTACATATATGATATTTTTAACCTGAAATCAGGTTCTAGTAGACAGGTCATCAAGGAAGGGATTAGATCTCAAAGAAGAGAAAGGGAACTTAAAAAAAAAAACCTAATTGTTTCATAACTGTATTTAGATCACACCTGCTTTTCCAGATCCCAGCTTGCCATGAATGAGAATACAAAAGAAATCTCAGACCTCCTGGGCGGCGGGGTAGCCTAGGGATTTAAGACGTCTCCTCTGCAGGCAATCAGGGTCCCTGTGAGGCCAGGTCTATGCTACTTACCCTAAGCCAAGCTCCTTACTCAATAAAACATGGGTTATGGTGTCTGCAGTAGCAAGTTTTTTTTTTTTTTTAATAAACTTTATTTTGTAATAATTCTAGCTTTACAGAAAATTTACAAAGATTGTACAGAGAGCTACCATATGCCCTTGATGTTTACCTCACTGTTAACATCTTACATTACCAGCACACATTTGTGAAAAATAAGAAATTAACATTGGCAGCCGGGCGCGGTGGCTCAAGCCTGTAATCCCAGCACTTTGGGAGGCTGAGGCGAGTGGATCATGAGGTCAAGAGATTGAGACCATCCTGGCCAACATGGTGAAACCCCGTCTCTACTAAAAATACAAAAATTAGCTGGGCATGGTGGCACGTGCCTGTAGTCCCAGCTATTCCGGAGGCTGAGGCAGGAGAATTGCTTGAATGTGGGAGGCGGAGGTTGCAGTGAGCCGAGATTGTGCCACTGCACTGCAGCCTGGCACCTGGCGACAGAATAAGACTCTGTCTCAAAAAAGAAAAGAAACTGACATTGGTACATTATTAACTACACTCCAGACTTTATCTGGATGTCACCAGTTTTTCCATTAATGTCCTCTCTGTTCTAGGATCCCATCAAGAATCATGTGACATTTGGTTTGGGGTCCACCCCGGATAAGTCTCCAGAGACTTATTTCAAGATTTAAAACATAACGCGTGTAAAGCACACTTAGCCTAGTTCGAAACATGTCACGAAGCATTGGTCAGCACTGAGGGATTGTTATAACTATGTGACAGGCACTGTCTTCGGCACTTTGGAAACACCAACTCATCTAATATTCACAGCAATTCTGTGAAGACTCCAGTTCCATTTACTTTACAGATGAGAAAAAGGAGGCACAGGAAGGTCAAATAAATGGCCCCAAACTATGCAGCTGGCAGAGCTGGGCTTCGACCCAGGCTTGCTGGCTGGCTCTGAAGCCCATGCTTTTCATCACAATGATGCCTCTCTGTGAGTGCAAAATACATACTCTTTATTGTAGGAGACTCTGGAACTGGGGAATTTTCTCTAGGGCAAAAGAGTGTTACTAAGTAGTTCTCCCTCTGTTAGTCACTGAAAATGTGCCTGATTTTTAACCCTCTTTAAATAAAAAAACTATAGCAATTCCAAAAGAAAGGTCAGAAATGGGGGTTGAATAAGCCAGGAGCATGGCTTGCATGGCTTTTCTTAAAATCACGTTTTTGAACCCTTACTCTGCCATACTTTTTCTTAATTTTTTTCTTTTTGGAGACAGGGTCTGACTCTGTAGCCCAGGCTGGAGTGCAGTGATGTGATCACTGCTTATTGCAGCTTTGGTTTCCTAGGCTCAAGGAATCCTCCCAACTCAGCCTCCTAAGCAGCTGGGACTACAGGTACATGCCACCATGCCTGGCTAATTTTTGTATTTTTTTGTAGAAACAGGGTTACCCCATGTTGCCCAGGCTGGTCTTGAACTCCTGGCACAAGCCCGCCCCTCTTGGTTTCCCAAAGTGCTGGAATTACAGGCATGAGCTACTGTGCCTGGCGTTCTCTTAATTTTACAAACATATCCCTCCCTCCCTCCCTCCCTCCCTCCCTCCCTCCCTCCCTCCTTCCTTCCTTCCTTCTTCCTTCCTTCCTTCCTACATGTTTAAGCCATGGAACATCTATCAAAAATACAGCACAGAAGAAACTTTTTTTAAAATCTAAGAATGAAGATTAAGAGCAAGCAAAAGGCAATGGAGTTTCTGGTGAGAATCAGGAAAGGCATAAAAGGGGAAGCATTTGGGAACAGGAAGAAGGGGAGAGGGAGGATGGACTGGGAGTTCTCCAGTCAAGCTCTGCCAGGAGCCAGCTGGTTACTGTGTCATCTAATTCACATGACTACTCCATATACTGGCTTCTCAGTCAATAAGATGAGCAGATCCCTTTTAACTGTGTCAGATATAATAACTTTGAGTCTAGAAAATTTAAAAAGGATTTAAAGAAAAATGCAAAAGCAAGAAAGTAGTTAAGTTGACATGAAAGTCTTAGCAACTAAACTGGAAGGTGAGCAGGCCTCTGACTACAACATTCATTCCACAAACATTTCTTTCAACAGTGTTCAGGTGCTGGGGAGACAGAGAGGAACAAAGCACGTCACTTCACTCACAGGCCCCATAGTCCAGTGGAGGACTGAGAGATAATAAACATGGAAACCAATGAGATACTTGTAGAATGTTAGATGTTATAAAGGAAATTAATGGAATGATGAGGCAGAGGCTATGGGGTAGGGGAGGGGGTATCCACACTTGAGATGGGACAGATCATGTTTAATTTACATATGTTCAGATTGT